CCCATTTTAATCCCTTTTCCCAAATTAGTTATACACAGGGAATTCATGATGGAGTTCCCTCTTTGGGCTCTGAGCCTCAAAACATTTCATAACATGCAGAGCCCTTCTAAAACCTTTTGATCACATCCCTTCTGAGACCGCTGTGTTTATGTGCAGAGCTGTGCGCATGGGCAGATGCTGAAGGGAAAGACAGGGAGCAAAAGTATCCTGTGCTTGTGGCACTGCAGGTAGGGCTTGCAGGACAGCCACAGCAAGGGGAAAAACCCAGCAAGAAACCACAACACACAGAACAAAACAATGGAGGGACAAAGGCCACTGGTGAGAGCTCAGCAACATGAGCCACAAATCTCTTCCATGCTGCTGTCAGGACAACCTACCTGGAAACTCGAAGCTGGGTCTTTGCCATGTTGAAACCTAGTACAGAGACTGATGAGTGCTCTTTATTTAATGGGAAATTACCCAGTCTGCACAGAAACAACCCAAAGTAAAGATATTCACCCAGCCTTATGCCTTGACCAAACAGGTTTGACATAAAGCAAGGACCACTAAGTGCCAAACCTGGAGATGATTTCCACAAGCCCATGAGAGGCTGGAAACCTTGGGATTACAGCGCATCTCCCTGCCCATTGTGTTTTGATTACAGCCCTTCATAGCCTCAAAACCTTAAAGACAGAATAAACTGCTACTGAGCTTAAGTCATTTAGCATCCTGCAGTCCAGTCACAGCTTTTCAGCTGACCAAGAAGGACAGAAACCTCTCCTCAGATTAACCAGCATGAGGTCTGCAAGCCAAGATCCTCAGAGGCATTAGATCCTCTTAGAAATTAGCGGTCCTTGGGCATTTTAGTAAATATATTCAAGGACCTGGACTGAAATAGCAATGTCCACCCTCCCTAAAAATTATGTTACGCGCCTGAAAAAGTTTACAAAGGTGAATATGAGACTGATGCATTTCTGGAAGTCTAAGAAGGGGTACTGGTATTTTGCTAAATTTTACTCAATACTTCTTATTAAAAAAAAGCTCAACCGGTTTAATTAAAAGTCATGGTAAATAGATTTCCTTTTGCCAGTGCCAGTGCTTTGTATGGACACATTCAAAGGCATTCACTTCCATTTGGTTAAACTTCATAACTGACTCCTCTAAATGTTTCCACATGGTGGCTTGAATTATTTTTTTCTTTTTCCTTTTTCTTTTTAACTAAATCAATTTTAAACCAATTTTCATTACATTGGTGGTTTTGCATGTCCACAAGGCCTGTGGGCCTCTTGGATTTTAAAACTTGGCGTGAAATTCAGCCCAAAATGCCAAGTGCTGAAACCCAGTGAAAATGAAGCCATTACAATCTATAGGGGAAGCTGCCTGCCACTCAGCCCTGCCCACGCTGCTGGCTGGACTGAGAGCACCTTCCCTGGGGCACCAGTCCTACACCAAACTGAGTGCTAGGAATGGCTAAAACTCGCCTCTGGACACTGCCACTGCTCCATCCCAAGCGAGTTTGGGATTTGGCAGCAGCGAGCTCAAATCCTGGCTGGTGGAAATTGCTGGAAGCACAGCCTGTGAGAAGATCAAAATCCTGATCAGGAACCTCTTTAAAACTGTGGCTTCAAAGCTGACTGGAAACCTGGCCCTGGGTTTCCCTGCAATTCAGCTTGGGTTTGCAAACTTGGCTGGTGTTAGGTTTATTGCACCTAGTTTGGGGCTTTATTGTGAATATTTTGTGGAGATTCAGGTCTTGAAATTAAATGGGCTCTGTTGTTCAGAGCCTGGACCAGTGTCCCTAACATCCATAAACTCCATACCAATCTATTTATCTTCATGTAAAAATAATTGAGGGTCTGATGCTTTATTTTCAAGGTAGAGGTCATTGCTGTATATTATCAAGTAAAATTGGAAGGATGGAAGGATGGAAGGATGGATGGATGGATGGATGGATGGATGGATGGATGGATGGATGGATGGATGGATGGATGGAGACTACTGACTGCTGCATATTGGAGGACCTTGACTTATAAAGCAACTTTTTAAACTGGTGAGGATTCAGGTTTGTTATGGTCCCATTTTCCAACACTGAGTCTACTAAGCAAACCAAAAAGCAAAAAGATATCTTGTAGAAGCACCTAGCAGCTGAGATGCTTCAAAGCAAAGACAGCAGCCTTAGAAGAAACACCAGCAGAGGTGAAGGTTTTCTGCCTCCCAGAAGGTTTGCGGCAATGAAGAAAGCCAATAATACTGCTGGTTTCCGACACTACTGATTTTAATACCTCTAGAAGTAGAAAAGAATGGGTTTACTTACTGTTCAACCCCCTTCCCCTCACAAAAACCCTCAAAAATGGTGACCATTCAAAGCAGAACAAAGATGGTTCTTGGCAAAGGCTCAGCATGGCTCCTGTTACTGAGGAGAATGTGGTCATGTTGCTAAGATAGTAGCCTAGGAGTCAGGCCACTCTTCATGGCCATCCCACCACCCCACCGTGTAACCTTGGAAAGTCACGTTTCCCCTCCATGGTTCCACATTCCTTGCCATCCTGCGCCTCTTGGCTATTCATGCTGCCAGCTTTATGGTCCAAGCCTGTCTCCTACTGTTCTAGCTACCACCATAATTATGAGAATTTGATACACGCTGCATTCCAGCACCCCTTCCCACAGACCTCTGTTAGACACCATGCCAGCTTCTACCACCCCTTCCTGGGACATGCACACACTGTGAAGGACCATCTGCCCTGTCACCCACCAGAAGCACCCCAACACCCAGCCCCAAAGGGACTACAACCCAGGGAGTCACTGTTTAGCTGTGACAATGCAAAGGTATTGCACGAGAAATGTGAGCGGTTTGCCCTGAGGTGCACCTCTGCCCCAGCACACATTTGTCATGACTGCCTGAGTAAGGCAGGGGTTTGTCCCTGACCTCAGAGGGCTGCATGCAGTCACAGGGTCCTTTATGACCAGCGTAGCCTAAAGCACCAAAAGAATATCTGGGTGTGACACTAGCACCCTTTTTCTTTACAGGGGCTAAACCTCTGCTGTGCCAGAGGCAGGACTTCTACAAACAAAGTAATGAGAACCTTTTTCTTCCCTGTTTTGCTCTAAGAATCCTTAACTCCAGGAGCCACCACACCACTAAGAGCACAGGTCCTGCTTCTGCTCCAAATTCTCATTGAAGGCTGACCCTCAAATGCCTTCAGGCAGCAGCTTGCTCAGTAGCTGCTAAATTATCTCTGGGTAAGGCATCCCATGCTGGGCACTGGGCATACACACAAGGAAGGGCAGTCCCTGCATGAAGACTTCTCAGCCTCAACAGGGAAGTGACACAAAGGGGAGGAGATTAAACAGTGTTAGTGAGATCACCATGTAGAGAACTGGGGAAGGTGGGATTAAAACCCAGAGAGCACCAATTAGCTGCCCTGCACACCGGTGCACTTGGTGCCTTCACTCCTTGCATGGCATTTCCACGTGTGTACATGGACACACACACACATATGTGTGTGTGTTTACATCTGTGTAAAGATGGATGTGGACACACAAGCTACATTGACAAAGGCGGAACGCGCACACCACAGCTGCAAGTGGCATTTTGTAATTTGCCCTGTGCTGTCAGGAGCTCACAGCCCTCATGGAGATCCCTCCTGACCTGACCCAGCAGGAACTGAGCCCCGCTATGACTTCTCCAGGCTGAGCCAGCACAAGAAGCTGGGATTTCCAAAGGTGCAGGCAGATGATTGCACTGAGATACTGTCTCAGCTCCTCCTCAGAGTTTGGTGCTGTGTGTTTTATCAACAAATAACATGTCTTTACTACTGCCAGCCCTGCTGAACCACTGAAGCTGCAGACAAGCAAGCTGTGTTTGCTTCTCTTTCATTTGTCATCAACACAATGGCCAGCCAAGTTCTCATTCCAGCATCTTACTTGTTGGTAACAACAACAACAGGCAAAAAGGGAAAAGCTGATTTTTTGGCAGGCTGTGGGCATTCAGAAACGTAGGCTTGGATAGGTAAATGAAAAAGGCCCAGTATGAAAATCACTGGGGAAATAGAGACATTAGGAAGCAAGAGTTTAAAACCAAAACAAAGAGTAGGCTGGTTGGGTTTTCAGATTCCCCTATTTCTGCTCTCTGGTATGGTGTTGTGTATTAATCCTCTCCCTTCACCAGCACAGGGGGGCCTCAAGTTAAGTGACAACTGAACTTGGTCAGAAGGAGACCAAGAAACTTTCTGCAAGTGATTCACTTCCTAAGGACTGCACACACGGATCATTCCAGGTCTGGATCACAGTCCCGCTGTTTACAGGATGCAGTGCTCAGGGAAGGGAAAATGCAGGGAAGAACAGTGACAAACACCGCTGAGGGAACATCTCTGGAGTATGTTAGTAAGTTGCTGAAAGGGAGGAACAGTTTTGAAACATGAGCACAGAGATAAAAATCTATTCCAAGGTGAGGATGAGCTAAATACATCAAAGGCCTTTCAGCACAATCTGGGCACATGTGAACCATCTAAATAGTAAACAACACATTTACTACTAATAGCCTCCTAATTTATTTATGGAGCCCCATCACACCGCAAATCTCTGTCATCTCCTTCACACACCAGTCACCTGGCACCAGAGGAGCTCTGCTCTGCCCAGCCTTCGCTACCTGTTTTTAGAGATAAGCATTAAATAACAGCCCTGCACAACATGATTAGGCCCACGCTTCAAGATGGTTGACTGAAAATACTCATTTTCCAACTTGGGGACGGTTCACAAGCTGTCTTAGTGCCTTGGAGCACCTCAAGCAACGGAAGGAAGAGGAAATACAAGCACAGAAGCCAACACAACCAGCCCCAGGGTTGGGGAATCCCTCCTCGCATGTATATATGGGCATATGGATATATATCCACATTTGTCACTGCTATGGCAACTAAGACAACAAAGATATCCTTTTAAAGGCCCTGCAGTAAGGAGGAAAAATATTTTGCTATATATATCACTGCCTATTGACGTCAAAAAATAACTTAAAATAAACTAACCTGTAAGTTTGGATCACGCTGGTCCTTTTTCCTCCTCTGTGGATATTGGAATAACCTTCACGTCACAATGACCATCTGTTGCCTTTCATGGAAAAAGTAACCAAAGAGAGCTGAGCTAGAAAGTTTTCTATTAAGCCCTCTCACACACCCTCACTGAAACAACATAAAAAGCCCCCTCTCCTAAAACCTATGGAGCACTGTAATCCTGAGGGTCTCATTTAGTCCTTCCACAGGCAAAACCCATACTGACATCAGAGGGTAATTGCCAATTTTGGTAATTAGTAAAAACTAAGAACCAGTGGTAAGCTGTGATAATTAATTCAGCTGAGCAGCTAAAGAATTCACTGGGGGGGGAAAAAGCAAGCTGGCAGAAGGAAGTCTGGTCTGAATAGTAAAAATGAAACATTAAGTTTAAAAGTGATTTTAGGAAGTTTGTTTCCACAGCCAAGATCTTGTAGATCAGGCCATCCTAACTCTTGTGCGTGTATCTGTAGCAGCATGCACAGTAGGACTGACATGACTTATGCTACTAATGCTACCACTGAAATTATTTTGTTGACACCACTAAGTTGCTGCTACACATCCAATAAATACAAGCAAATGGATTTATGAGGCAGAGAGGAAGGTAGGGAATTTAGGACCTTAGTTTGCACTAGGCTGTACCAATACAACCCTACTAAAGTCAAAGTCCAAGGCAATCAAGCACCAGCAATGCAGTGGGAAGCCCCGCAGGGGAACAGGCTGGATGCTGGTGATGGTTCACTCATGCAAGGCATGGGGGTATCTTTGGCATGGGACTGCTCTACAGCTCCTTGCCCAGTGCCCAGAATCAACAAATGCAGCATCTCCCATCCCTTGGCTAGCAGAAGCAGATGAGAAATACACCTCAACCAAATATCATCTATTTTGGTCACCTCAGGAAGATTGTGGGGAACCCTCTCAAGTCCCTTCTGGCTCAATGTGTGTTTTAATCTGGCCTGAAGGAGGCTGAACTGCCTGCATGTCCTACCAGAGCCCCACAGAGTGGGTTGAGGTGTTCTCAGAGGATGAGATATGCCATCATACTCTCAAAAAAACTAGGGATATTTCAAAGCAACAGAATTTACTAGAGATTTTTTGAAGGCAGATCTCTCTTACTCAGAATGGTGAGTTTGAACAGATATAGCAAATGCAATGAATCACTGGAGCATTGTGGGCCGTTATATACTATTAAGTCATCTGCAAGCCCATGGTGAACCCATTTGCAATGTGGTATTACACGGCCACTTGATGTGTTGTGGATTTGGGTCTGTTCCTCTTCTCCTCAGGGTTTGTTTTTCTTCCCTTTTTTTTTTCTGTAAGTCAAGCTGCAGACTACAATTAACAAGAACTAACACAACTCCAGCAGGTTTGAATCAGACTTATGAAGGAAAATCAGCAATCACATAGATTTTTAGAGGTTCAGAAATTTGCCTTCTGTCAAATTCTCCTAGGTCACCTGGTTTTCAAAACTGCTGGAATTGCTGCAATTCTCATCCCTCCTGCCCATCTGTCCAAAGTTTCCCTCTAAATCAGAGGAAATCAGGGAAAATCAGAGGAAATCAGAGAGTTTGATTTGCCCCTGGGCTGCAGAGGAGCACTGACAGCCCCCATCCAGCGACACGACATGGCGCTTCAGTATCCTGTGTTACTTAACTTCCTATTGGTGTGCATTCAGATACATATCTGACTTTTCTCACATCTCTGTTATCTCCCAAATTAGTCTGCCATCTCTTGTGCCATCAGTCACTTCACCTCTTCCCTACAACAATTTCCTGAAGTACTTTGCCTAGAGATTGGTTTCAGTGGCTCAGCCTGCAGAGCCTTCACCTTGTGGACTTGCACAAAAGACATCTTGGAAGAGCCCCTTCTTATTTTTAATTCTTCATAACATCCAGCCTGCCTGTATATTTTCTCTTACCATAGAGGCAACAGACAGGCATCTTTTGGAAATCTCCTCCCTACCTTTCCTCACCTGCCCATATGAAATGAGGAAGAAAATACCCTAATACTTCTACTGACTGTAGTCTTCTTCAGCCCTGATTTCTGGAAGCTTTCATAGAAACATCTCTGACACAGCCCCACCCCTCATACTTCTCCCAGCAAAGACTTACCTTTGATTTCTTCCTATACCCCATTTTTATCTAACACCCTCCTTCATAGGAAATCACGCAGGCATCCAAAAGCCCTGCTGTGTGCCTCTTTCACCTTTTATTAATGCCAAGTGCCACCCCTTCTCACCACCCTAAACAGGGCCAGATGGGATGTACCAGGCTCTCAAAGGGCCCCTGCACCTCTCTTTTCAAAGAGGGAGCTGCCTTTGCAAGGTCTGTTGCTTTTTTTTGGAGGAGATGTAGCTGAGACAGGTTTATCCAAAGACCACAAAAGTGTTAGGTGGTTGCTGAACACCAGAATAAGGAAAAAAAAAAGCTATAGCTGGTGTCTGCACAAAGTAGTTGTATGTTTTACCAAGGCTGAAATACTAAAAATATGGAAAGTTTTATAGTACTCTGTGCTGCACCTACAAAGCTACAGGAAGACTGTGGGACAAGTGAGACTGGCTGATATAAGATTTATGTCTGACATAAGTTATGTCTGACAGCTGCTAGTCCTGAGGTGCTTGGCAGGGAGAAATCCAGCTCTGATACCGCAGGCCAGAAATCAGAAGAATGCCTTTTTCTCTACCCACAAAGAAGAAACACATAAGCACTACGCTCTAAAGCAGAGATTGCATTTAAAAAAAGGCTGGCCACAGAATAACTTACAACTGATCTCAAGCTGAATATGGAAACAGGTTGCTTTGAAGATGTCTGTCAAAGACCCTGGTTAAAACCCCAACAGTTGCTAAGATCCAAGAGAAAGAAAAACAGAGAGGGGATATGGGGAAGCCTAGATTGAACAGTCATTTGTTAAGAGAATTGAAGTAGAAAAATAATGCGGAGTTCCAAGCCAGTGTCCAGCAAAAAACTAAAAAAAGGCATGTAGGGCTACAAGAATAGCTGAAACAAGCCAGACTTGGTGAGAAAATGCTACAGCACAACCCCTGATGTGCCTGGCCACTGTGAACAGCAGCTCCCTCACCCCACTGAGCTTCTCCTCAGCCCCAGCAGAGATACCTTGATGGAGCAGGCAAGGACCAGGGCGGACAGGCAGGCTTGGGTGGGATGGTGATGAGAAGGCAAATCTGCACACACATGCTTTGACACTCTCAGTTGTGGGGAAACCCAAAATGGGTGTGTTTGTTCTCCTCTTTGAGCACACCTCCCCAGATCCACCCATTTTGGATATTTGCCCTCTTTGAGATGAACCTAGGCTTGGCTGTGGACATTTCTGAGGACCAGCGTGCTGTGGCTTTCTCAGCCCACCAGTGGTACTTCTTATCTTTTAAGATAAGATCCCAACTTTACAGCAACTTTTCCTGCCTTGCCCTTCTAAAAGCAAACACAGTTTGCGCTACCTGAAGTTGGCAACACCATTTGCTTAGACACTAGTGTCCAGAAAACAATGGGTCATGCTGGTAAGGGTATTTCTTTGAAAGCTGTTACACACTACATGTATATGCACATTGGGATGAGCCCTAAGGCATCACAAACAGCACACTTAGAAAAGCTCCCCTTGCCTGAAAGGCACAAAATATGGGAACTGGATAGGTTCAGTCTGTGGACCAAAAGGGGATGGGAAGGACTAACTGGCTTCTCATAAAAGGCAAAAAGATGGAGTCTTCTCTTTCTGCATGCTGAAGCACCAAATACATTAGAGGAGGGTTATCCAGAAACCAGCATATGCTGGTTCTTTTTTTATGCTGAATGTGTCAGCAAGGTCTTGGCAGACTGTGGGGAAAAAACAGAGTATCTATAAGATTTCGAGGTTGTCACAGATCAGTAACCTCAGACGAGGCCTGTTATAGTCATTCTGCAATGACCCCTCTCTTCTTTCATCTTAGGATTCCACTAGTTTCATCCACTTGCTTTCTTTTCTTGCTTTTATTTTTCTGTTCATCCTGCAAAACAAAGTACCCCTGCCATGTTCCTTTGCTGGAGTTTCACCAAGACTGGACCCTCCCAGCGGGGCTTTGCCAGATATGTCACAAAGCCACACAATGCATTGCCATGGAGGAAATGTCACCTATATAAATACATAATTTCATGGAGGAAACATCAAGTCAGCTGAGGACCTGACAGAAAGGCGAGTCACTTCAGACAGGTTGGTTTAGAAGATGAGGGTAAAGCTCTGCAAAAGCAAGGCCTCCTGTGTGGGTAACACCCAAGCTGGCCAGGTCCTCAGTGGATACAAATTGCCCTAGTTCCATGCAAATCATCTGGAAAAGGATACCCTGGCTGGCAAGCTGCTAAGGTAACAAGGATACCCCAGGGCAGCGCCAACTAATGCTGGCTGTGGAGCTGCCCATTAGCTGTACTGGTAGTATCGGCTTATGTGAACATATTTGTGGCTCTGGTAAACCTGGAAAAAATGACATTTCCATGGGTTTGATGAGAAGTGAAACATTTGATGCTTTGGTCTCAAATTTTCTGCTGTCTTCCACAAGAAACAAAGGGCAAGGCTTTACGAATGGCCTTCTCTTTTTTCCCCCTTTTGGGGCAAATGTAGGAAAAAGTGTTATCTATGTAATTTCAGAACTTGTTCTTTAACGCAAAACACCAAAACCACCAGAAATAACTTTCTCCTGGAAAATGTTAGATTTAACTTTGCCCTAAGCCAAAATTGCATACTGATTGCTATTCATCATTCTACTCCCCTCCTATGTACTCTATACGTCTCCAAAAGCTTACCACGGCAATCAAAGGTCAAGGAATAGCTGGATGAAGGCACTCTTTCCAAAACAGGTATTCCCCACATCTCTGCTCAGAAATGTCCTTCTCCAGAAGAGACTGGACAGCTGTTCTTTGTTGATATCCAGTCTCCCAGGACCTTCAGCAAACACATTCAGGAACCTGGTTACAGTCTAGGATAATATTTCCTTGCAGATTTGTCAGGATGTGACAGGTTTTTTCCAAGTTACCAGAGCATGCACACAACCTGAACTCCAAAGGACAACTCCAGAGTT